TTTTTGGATTGGGTCTTTAAATTTGGGAGGTCTGATTTTTTTAAAGTTCTTTATATATTCTAGATAGTAGACCTTTGTTTGAGGAACAGCTGGTAAAAATTTTTTTTCCCACATTGTGGGTTGTCTCTTCACACTGTTGATGGTTTCTCTTGCTGCGCAGAAGATTTTTAATAAGGTGAGATCCCCTTTGTTGATTCTTTGTGCTAGTTCCCTTGCTACTGAGGTTTTATTCATAAAGTCTTTCCCTACACCAATGTGTTCAAAAATTCTACCTAACCTATCTTCTAGCAGGTTTAGTGTTTCTATTTTAATATTTAGATCTTTGATCCATTTCAATTTTAGTTTAGTGCATGGTGAGAGGTATGGATCTAGTTTTAATCTTTGGCAAGTTGAAATTGAGTTTTTCCAACACCATTTATTAAAGAGGCTATCTTTCCTTCAGTGAGGGTGTTCGGCCCTTTTGTCAAAGATGAGGTGGCTGAGTATGTTTGGAGTTGTTTCTGTATCTTCTAATCTATTCCACTGATTCTCAGGTCTGTTTCTTTGCCAGCACCATGCTGTTTTTATCACAGTAGCTTTGTAGTATAGTTTCAAGTTGGTGATTGTGATACTCCCTGCCTTGTCTTTGTTGTCTAGAATTGCTATTCTAGGTCTCTTCTTGTTCCAAATAATGAATTTTTGGATTATTTTCTCAAGATCTATGAAGTATGCTGCTGGAATTTCAGTTGGGATTTCATTGAATCTATATAGCAGTTTTGGAAGTATGACCATTTTCATTACATTGGTTCTTCCTACCCAACAAGGGATATCTTTCCATTTCCTGATATCTTCTTCAATCTCTTTTTTCAGAGTGCTATAGGTTTCAGGGAATAGGTCCTTTACTTCCTGCATTAACTTGGTTCCTAGGTATTTCATTTTTTGGATGCTATTGTGAAAGGAGTTGTTTCTCCAGTTCTTCTCTCAGTGAGTCTGTTGTTCATGTACAGGAAAGCTATTAATTTTTGTGTGTTGACCTTGTATCCAACTACTCTACTGAATTTGGTTATTAAGTCTAGAAGGACTTAGGTGGAGTTCTTGGGGTTGCTATATTCATGTCATCTAAAGAGTGACAATTTAAACTTCATTTCCTATCTTTATTCTTTTTATTTCTTTCTCTTGTCTAATTGCTGTGGCTAATGTTTCCAGAACTATATTGAACAGGAGTGGTTGTAGTGGACATCCTTGTCTTGTTCCTGATTTTAGAGTGAAAGATTTCAGTTTTTTACCATTTAGTACAATGCTGGCTGTTGTTTTTTCATAGATGGCTTTTATCAGGTTGAGATAGAGACATGTATTCCAATTTTCTGTAGGGTTTTTATCATGAATGGGTGTTGGATTTTGTTGACTTAGTCATCATGTATGATCTTCTTGATGATCTTCTGAATTCTATTTTCCAGTAACTTATTAAGGAGTTTTGCATCTATGTTCATTAGTGAGATTGGCCTATAGTTCTCTTTTTCTGTTGGGTTTTTCTCTGCTTTGGGGATCAAGGTGATGCTTGCTTCCAGGAATGAATTTAGGAGTATTACTTCCTTCTCAATTTCATCGAAGAATTTGAACAATAGTGGCGATAGTTCTTCTCTAAATGTCTTGTAGAATTCAGCAGTGAAGCCATCAGGGTCTGGGTTTTTTTTTTTTTTTTTAACCTGGCACTAAATGAGTCTGTTTTTATTAACATCTCACGTCTTAAAAGCAGCACAAAGGACAGATGAGGTAGCAGAGCAAGAGAGCTCTCAGAACACACCGGAAGAGGCAGTGGGCGTCAGGGAGCCGCCTGAGCACAGGGAGGCAGCACCCTCTGGGAGTTGCTCTTGACCCAGAGGTGCACCAGGATCTGGCTCAGGGGCAGCCGCTCACTGGGCTGGAACCTCAGAAGCCTGGAGATCAGGTCCTGGGCCCCCACAGGCATCGCGGAGGGAAACCTCATGTCCACCTGGGCGGCCGGGAAAGAAGAGAAGCCCAGCTGTGGAAGCTCTGTGGTCAGTGCAGTCCCTGTTCTGGACCTGAACAGACAGCCTGTGTGCGCCCCAGCCCTGTAGCCCCTCAGCTGTCACTGATGGGCTCCCCTGAACACCCACGGCGCTGCCGCCCCACCTTGAGGATGCGCCTGTAGGTCTCACTGTGCGAGGTGCTCTCGAAGGGTGGGCTTCCCACCAGCAGCTCGGAGCAGAGCACCCCGATGCACCAGAGGTCCACCTTCTCATCGTACGTCCTCTGATCCATCATCTCCAGGGGCAGGTAGTCCAGAGTCCCAGAGTCCCTCACATCGTCTTCCTCCTAGGGAGGGCAGTGTGGAGGCGCAGTGCAAAGGCACCCCCCCCCCAATCCAGGGCAAGGGGGGGCGAGAACATCCTCCAAGTCCCCTCCCGAGCACGTGGATTTGGCGACAAGTTTTAGTACTGACCAACTTTCACAGAGGGAAAGGACTGGGACCCAATCACGTGTTCTGAAATTAGTCACACGTTATTTAGTTCATCCAGAACGTTTTCACATAAATATTCTCAACATCCATTTAGATCTGGCATGGTAGCACAGGCTTGTAACACAGCAACTCTGGAGGCTGAGGCAGGAGGATTGCGAGTTTGAGGCCAGTTTGGCTTACACTGTGAGTTCAATGCCAGTCTGGGCGACACAGTGAGATACTGTCTCAAAGAAACAGAAAGCAAACAATATACGAAACAAAATGATGGAGTACTAAGAGGGATCAAGTAAATGAACCAGTTCTTTCTCACCAAGAAATATACTCCTGGCATTGTAAAGGAATGGCTATTGATTTACACAGTATCTTATTGGTAAAATCATATATTAATGATGCTCAGAAAATAAAGTGTGGTTGGATCATATATTTTTAATCTGCATTGATAGAGTTCCACCACTAAGAAAATGGCCCCGGTGGTTCCAATTACCCAAGATGGCCCCTCGCACGAGAAATGAGTCATGTTTGGGAAGGGCCTGGGCTTTTCTTAGTTGGTGAGCTTTTAATTACATTTTCAATTTTGTTGATTGATATTGGGCTCTTTAGAATTTTTAGGTCTCCATTCAACTTTGGTAATTCATATGTATCTAGGAATCTGTCCATTTCTTCTGTGTTTTCCATCTTATTTGCTTATAGGTTCTCAAAGTAGGTATTGATGATCCTCTCTGGATTTCTGCTGGGTCCTTTGTAATTTCATCCTTTTCATTCCTAATTGCATGGATATGGGTCTTTTCTTTCCATTTTTTGATAAGCTTGGCTAATGGTTTGTCAATTTTGTTTATTCTTTCAAAGAAACAACTCTTTGCTTTGTTGATTTTTTTGTATCATTCTCTTAGTCTCCATTGCATTCATTTCTGTCCTGATCTTTATAATTTCATCCCTTGTAGAAGCTTTGGGTTTACCCTGCTCTTCTTTTTCTAGAAGCTTGAGGTTCAGCATTAGGTTGTTTATTTGAGCTTGCTCTGTTTTCCTAATATGAGTACTCACTTCTATGAATTTCCCTTGTAGGACTACTTTCTTTGTGTCCCATAGATTCTGATATGTTGTGTTGACATTGTCATTTAATTGTAGAAACTGTTATTTCTTTTTTAATTTGTTCTGTGATTCATTGGTTGTTCAGGAGTGTGTTGTTCAATTTCCATGTGTGTATGAAATTCTTGTGGTTTCTTTTGCTATTGATCTCAAATTTCATCACATTATGGTCTGATAATATACAGGGGTTAACTTCAATTCGTTTGCGCTTACTTAAATGTGTTTGAGCAAATATATGGTCTATTTTGCAGAATGACCCATGTGCAGCTGAAAAGAATGTGTATTCTGATTTTGTGGGGTGGAACACTCTGTAGACATCTGTTAGGTTCATTTGATCAAAACTTTGATTGATTTTTTTGTTTATTTTCTATCCAGTGGATCTATCTATTAGTAACAGTGGGATATTGAGGTTCCCACTACTATTGTATAAGTGCTTATTTGATTTTTCATGTCCATTTGTATTTGTTATGTATAGTTGGGTTTACTAGGATTTGGTGCATAGATATGTATGATTGTCATCTCTTCCTCTCGGATTTTTCCCTTTATAAGGATATAGGTCTTTCTTTGTCTCTCTTAATCAGTGTTGGTATGAAATCCATTTGATCTGCAAAGAGGATAGCTACTTGTCCTTTTTTTCAGGTTCCTGCCGCATGGAGTATTGTTTTCCAACCTTTAACTTTCAGTCTATGAGTTTCTTTTTGAATTCAGTGTGTTCCTTGTATGCAGCATATTGTTGGATCTTGCTTCTTGACCCATTCTGCCAGTCTATTCCTTTTGGTTGGTGAATTGAGACCAGTAACAGTGATGGTTATAACTGATATGTATTGACTTATCCTTGTCATGGCTTTTTGTTTTTGTTGGATTCTCCCCCTTTGTGTTTAATTTCTTGTCATGCCTGATGGATTCATTCTGCTGGGCTTCCTGTGGTAGTGATCCTCATGGTCTTTTTCTATGATGTTGTTTAAAAATTTTTGGAGTGCTGGTTTGGTATTCATGAAGTTCTTTAGGTGCTCTTTGTCATGAAAGTATCTTATTTCTCCATCCATTTTGAAAGATAGTTTTGCAGTGTACATCAATCTGGGTTGGAGGCTGTTTTCCTGTAGGCCTTGAAATACATCATTCCAAGCTTTTCTTGCCTTGAATGTTTGTGTTGAGAAGTCTGCTGTGATTCTGATGGACTTTCCTTTGTATGTTATTTCTTTCTTTTCTCTAACTGCTTGTAGACTTTTGTTCTTCTGTTGGGTTTCTGGAATTTTAACTATTATATGCCTAGGTGTAGATTTTTTTTGATCAAGGCTAGTTGGAGTCCTCTATGCCTCACTTATCTGTATGTCAAGTTCTTTCCCCCTGCTTGGGAAGTTTTCTGCCATCACTTCTGTGAACAGATTTTTTATGTTGTCTGCATTCTCTCCTGGTTCTTCATTGACTACAATCAGTCTTATGTTATTCATCCTTGCATCATCTAGCAGCTGCTGGATGGATTTCTCATGGTCCCTTACTATTTTAAAGAAATTTTTCTTTTCCTGGTCATTAATTGCAATCATGTCTTCTATATCTGAAATTCTGTCCTCACATTGGCTCATAATGCTGCATTAACTTTCAGTGGAGTTTTTAATCTCCTGGATATCTGTTTGCATCTGTTATATGGATTCCATTTATTTCCTATGTTGGGATTCCATCATGTTCCTCAGCTCCTCTATTTTTTATCTGTGTCTGCTCTAGATTTATTAATCATGTCTTGCACTATGGACATAATCTCTGTTGTTATCTGAGAAATTATTTCTGATTTCATTTTTTCCATATCCTCTTTTTTTCCAGTTCAGGGAGTCTAGGTTTTTTGTTTTTTTTTTGGTACCGGGGAGCGAACTTGGGTCCTTGCATTTATGCAGTAGGCAGTGAAACCACTGAGCTAAATCCCCAGCCCAGGAAGTCTAGGTTTTTGAGTGTCAGATTGTTCCATCTTGTTGTCCTTTAGGGTTGCCTTAGGTGATCTGGAAGTCTGATTTTGAGACTTGTTTATGTGTCTTCTCATTTTAACAGATGCAGCCTGCTGTGCCTTTGTTGAGGTGACTTTTTGCTCACCTAGTGGTCTTCAATTCTCAGCAAGCCTTTTTTCTGTTGCTCATCCCTGCACCACTTCCTAGGTTCAGAATGGTGGACTTCTGGATCCCTGCTCTGCCCTGTTGTTCAGACGAGGTTCAGGCTGGGGCCTGTGCACACTTGGGATGGTATCTGGGTGGGCCTCTGGCTAGGACCTGCCCCTCTATTTAGCTGTTGTCTGGGAGGGCCTTTGGCTGGGGGCTGTGCATTCCAGCCCATGGTGTCTCAGTGGGCTTTTGGGTAGGGTCTACACATACCGTTGGTATCGGGCATCCTCTGGCTGTTTTTTGTGTGCCTGTCCAGCTCTTTTCCAGGTGGGCCTTTGCCTAGGGCTGTGGGTCCAAGCTGCTGGGCTTGGGGCAGGGCCATGTCTAGGACCTGCCTACAACCATGCTACTCTAGTCCCTGCCAGCTTCTCACTGGGATCTGAGCACAGTTACTGATGGTATAGGGGTGGGCCTATAGCTGTTGCTTGTGCACCTGTGCAGCTCTTTTCCAGGTGGGCCTTTGGCTGGGACAGTGGGTCTGAGCTGCTGGGGTCAGGGTGAGGCCCTGGCTAGGATCTGCCTGCAACCATGCTGCTCTGGCCCACCTGGGCTTGTCATTGAGCTGTAAGCTTTTGGTGCATTTCATCTTTGAACTTATCTATTTTCTTCATCCCTTCTAGGAACTTTTCATAGATTTCTGCTATCTGGTATTCATTTGCTTCTCCTTTTGTGATCCCCTGCTCTGTCTTGGGAGAATTGGGAGGTAGGCTGGAGATCTTCTATTTCCTTGTTTCCCCATTTTCCCTACATTTAGTTGTGTTTATTTATTATATGTTTACATATGTTTGTTTATATATATATATATTTGAAAGTTATATGAGTTCCCTTCTTTTTTCTCTTCCCCCTTCTGCCAGTTGGGGATGAGAGAAGTGAGGAAAGTATGTGATTATATAGAAATTTTAAGTAGGGTGTTGCCTCCCCATGATTACTTTTCAGCTTTATACATCCAGTTCTAGTATTTGTGATTTCTGTTGTTTACTGTAAGTGATTTCATCTCTGTTCCTATGTTTTGCCACGAGAATTGCTTCATTTTTTAAAAATGAAGTTTTTGGGTACATTTTAGGTATACAATACAGTTACATTCATCATTGGGATCTTGTACCTTTACATGATGATCTTGGTTCTTATTTTTTCCCCATTTCCCTGCCCTCCCCCTTCCTTCACCCTTCCCTATTTACAAAGACTTTGTTTCCATTTTTTACTTTTCTTATATTTTTTCTTTTCCCTTCTTTCCTTTCCCCTATCCTTCCCACTTCCCCTACTCCTTCAGACCTTTTCTTCCTATTTCACATTATCAATTATACAATTTGAACCTTATTTACACTTTTAGTTTTTCACACCAGAGAAACTATTGGTATTTACACATGTATGTCCTATTTATTTCACTTAAGAGTATGGCCTCAAGGTGCATCCATTTAGCTATAAATGTGTCTAGTTTCTCATTCTTTATGGCTGAGTAGTGCTCCATTTTATAGAAAAACCACATTTTCTTTATCCAGGCTCCATTTGATGGGCAATTGGGCTATTTTAAGGTTTTGGCTATTATAAACTGTGCTGCTGTAAACATGGGTGCACATATATTGCAGTGGTATGATTCTTTTAAAAGAATTGCTTCACTTTAT